CCAGAGTCACCGCCGCCGCCACCGATCCCGCCGCCGCCGCCGCCACTCGCCGAAGGTAGAAACCGCCGCCGCCGTCTCAGTTTTTTCTCAGAAAACCGACCGATTTTTTTAGTAAACCCTAGATTCATTTTTTATTAGATCGGTTCGTTTTTTCGGTTTAATTAAATAATGGACGTTCGTCCGTATGTTCGTTTTAACGAACGCTGTCCGTCAGTTAGCCGCAGACAGCGAACGTTCGTTCGTTAGTCTGTTCGTCTCATTTTATTTTCCAGGGTTTTTCCGGGATTATTTTCGATCGCGATTTCTGTCCTAATCTTCGTTTTAGTTTATCTTTTTGCTCGTTTATCCAAATCGGGTGAAACAAGCGCCTAGATTTCGTCTCGAGGTCCTGTTTCTGTTTAACCAACTTGAACAAGATTTTGGTACTGTAAAATTTGACTTTAGTCCAGATTAGTAAACGAATCTTGTTTCTTTCATAGTTTGAGTTTCGTTACTCCGTTTGATTTGATTCTTTTTGCCAATCGAATCTCTTCAGTTGAGTTTTCAGATTCGATCTTCTTATTTGAGTTTTACCCGTGCATCTTTGCTTGAGTGCTTATGTATGCTATTGATTGTTTGCAATAGAATTCCCAGAGTGCGGAGCATGCTACTACGAGTCTCTAGGTTTTGCGGATTGTCAGAATGTTGGAAATATGCCCTAGAGGCAATAATAAATTAGTTATTATTATATCATATTTCATTGTTCATGATAATCGTTTATTATCCATGCTAGAATTGTATTGATAGGAAACTCAGATACATGTGTGGATACATAGACAACACCATGTCCGTAGTAAGCCTCTAGCTGACTAGCTCGTTGATCAATAGATGGTTACAGTTTCCTGACCATGGACATTGGATGTCGTTGATAATGGGATCACATCATTAGGAGAATGATGTGATGGACAAGACCCAATCCTAAGCCTAGCACAAGATCGTGTAGTTCGTATGCTAAAGCTTTTCTAATGTCAAGTATCATTTCCTTAGACCATGAGATTGTGCAACTCCCGGATACTGTAGGAGTGCTTTGGGTGTGCCAAACGTCACAAGTAACTGGGTGGCTATAAGGGTACACTACAGGTATCTCCGAAAGTGTCTGTTGGGTTGGCACGAATCGAGACTGGGATTTGTCACTCCGTGTAAACGAAGAGGTATCTCTGGGCCCACTCGGTAGGACATCATCATAATGTGCACAATGTGACTAAGGAGTTGATCACGGGATGATGTGTTACGGAACGAGTAAAGAGACTTGCCAGTAACGATATTGAACAAGGTATCGGGATACCGACGATCGAATCTCAGGCAAGTATCGTACCGATAGACAAAGGGAATTGTATACGAGATTGATTCAATCCTTGACATCGTGGTTCATCTGATGAGATCATCATGGAGCATGTGGGAACCAACATGGGTATCCAGATCCTGCTATTGGTTATTTACCGGAGAGTTGTCTCGGCCATGTCTGCATGACTCCCGAGCCCGTAGGGTCTACACACTTAAGGTTCGATGACGCTAGGGTTATAGGGAAAGTATGTACGCGGTTACCGAATGTTGTTCGGAGTACCGAATGAGATCTCGGACGTCACGAGGAGTTCCGGAATGGTCCGGAGGTAAAGATTAATATATAGGAAGTATGGTTTTGGCCACCGGAAGTGTTTCGGACATCACCGGTAGTGTACCGGAACCACCGGAGGGGTCCGGGGGTCCACCGGGAGGGGCCACCAGCCCGGAGGCCTACATGGGCCAATAGTGGGAAGGGACCAGCCCCTAGGTGGGCTAGGGCGCCTCCTACCAAGGCCCAAGGCACCTCCTAGAGGGGAGGGGGCAAACCCTAGGGCAGATGGGCCTTAAGGCCCACCCTAGGTGCGCCTCCTCTCTCTCCCCCCTTGGTCGCAACCCTAGATGGGTTTTGGGGCTGCCGCCACCCCTAGGGAGGGAACCCTAGATGGGGGCACAGCCCCTTCCCTTCCCCTATATATACTTGAGGTATTGGGGGCTGCAACGCACACGAGATCATCTCCCTCTTGGCGCAGCCCTACCTCTCTCCCTCCTCGTCTCTCGTAGTGCTTGGCGAAGCCCTGCTGGAGTTCCGCGCTCCTCCACCACCACCACGCCGTCGTGCTGCTGCTGGACGGAGTCTTCCCCAACCTCTCCTTCTCCCCTTGCTGGATCAAGGCGTAGGAGACGTCACCGGGCTGCACGTGTGTTGAACGCGGAGGCGCCGTGGTTTGGCGCTTAGATCGGAATCAACCGCAATCTGAATCGCTACGAGTACGACTCCTTCATCCACGTTCTTGCAACACTTCCGCTTAGCGATCTACAAGGGTATGTAGATGAACTCTCCTTCCCCTCGTTGCTAGATTACTCCATAGATTGATCTTGGTGATGCGTAGAAAATTTTAAATTTCTGCTACGATCCCCAACAGTGGCATCA